AGGTTAAATAATTCCTGTTCCTCCTCTGCCCACCTCTTCCCGTCTACCTTCCATGTTGGGCTGGACACACAGAACTTCATCACATCTCATCCCCATGCCTTCTGGAAAACCTTGACTAACTCAGTCACTAAATGGAATGATCACTCCGGTCTTTTCCTCTACTCTCCTAAGAGCTACAGTTGACTCAAAAGCAAGAGGTAAACTGATAAGCAAATATATTGACTGCAGAGATGAATCGAGACACGAATCCCCACAGAATGCTAAGGGACACCCCAACCTACCAAAACCTCCACATTTCCAAGCCACAACTGAGAGATCGCTAGGCCCTGCTACTCCACTTAGTAAGGCAGGGAAAGAACTAATATTCACTGGGAAGAATTTCAACAGCCCAAGTGAAAATGAGCTTAACCTTCAGCTGTCCTGAAAAATACAGTTGACCCGAATTCCCCATTCCCTGGACATTCCTGATGGGTTCACTGAAGTTCACTGGGTTGTCCTTGTGATAACTGTATAATCCAACTCTGATGTAAGAAAATGCGTCCCGCGGGGAAGACTAGTCCTGATATGGCTGATTCCCTGGACTCCTTCCTCAGGCCTTGACTAAAGGGGTTGATGCCCCAGGCCTAGAACTGCTCCTTCTCCCAGACTGTCCCCCCGAGGCCATCCACCCAGCCCCTTCCTACCCAAATCCCATTAAAGCCTGCCCAAGCCCATCTCCTCCAGACTTCCCTGACGCCAGCCCCTCCCCACCAGTTCCCATCCTCTCTCCTCCTGTAGCACCCAAGTCTCTCTTAAAGCACATAACCCCCTAATTCAAGTTTCAAGAGTGCAGGGAACTCTTCTTGTTTCATTCTTTCAGTGAAACTCTATTTCATTTCATAGTTTGTTCATTGTTTTACCCTAAGAGTTTGAACTAGTTTTTGGTACACAGTAGGCCTACAATAAATAATGAATGAATGATTGAATGTTTTCTCCTCATGGCATCTCTGCAATTGTTACTCAGCTTTCTCTGGTGTGTTCCTGGTTGATTCCTCTAGACATGAAATTCGCTGGGGCAAGGACTATGTCTTATTCATCTTTATCCCTGTCATTCACCCTTCTGCTTAATAAATACTTATTGAAAGAGGGGAAAAAAGGAAGTCAATTTGGGGCATTTACAATCCAGAAAGAATGGAGGTGGGGGTCAGTGGGTAGAGTTATTTGGATTTCAAGGGTGTGGGTGAGAAGCAAGCTACTATTGATATGTTTGCCTACAAATTTATGCCTGCCTCCTTCCAGAGGGTTTGAGGTGGCTTACAAAAATACACAGACATAATACAAGGTAACAAACAAGTCGGTGAAGAAATCAGGACGAGGGGAAAATAAGAGCAGGAAAAATAAGATCAAGTCGGCTCGTTAGAAGTGGGCCAAAAAGTTGGCCAAGTTTCCCACAGCCCATTCGCGACGGAAGGCCCTCTCTCTTCCCCACCTCCCCTCCCTCTCAAGGGCTACCACTGGCCTCACAAGGCCAGGGAGAGCTGCTCCGAGCTTAGCTGCGCCCAAGGGAGGGGCCTAGAAAGGCCGCCAGCCCCAGAGCCCGGGGCCTGGAAGCCTGGGCGGCCTTGGGGAAGGCTGTGGGTAGGGGCGCGCGGCTCTGGGTGGGCTCTCCCTGGCCCAGGCGTGGGCGCCCGGGTTGCTGGCAGGGGCTTGTGACCCAGGCAGGTAGGGTAAGGGCCTAAGGGTCGCTCTTCCACTCAACGCTGCAGAGGTTCTCGAGCTAGCAACTCAAGGCCCTCCAGCCAAACCTACTCGCGGCCTACTACGCGCGCGCTCTGCAGGCAGGGCACAAAGACGGAGGAAGCAGCGCGCCTTCCACCCCGCCCCAACCCCCGCTCCAGACAAAGGGGCAGGCCGCCCCTCCCCCAGCCTCGCCCTCGCGTTCCCCCTCCACCCTCCTCTCCCTTCAGGCCGCCCTTCGGTGACTTCCTCTCCCCTTCCGGGGCAGCCTGGGGACTTCTCAGAAACTACGTTCCACCTGGGCGCGCGGCGGGGAACCGGCGCGCTGGGGGCGCCCTCTCGGCCCACTCTTAGCCCCGGCCGGCCCTAGGCCCGCGCCCTCCTCTTTGAACCCACAGGATTGGCCCCCAGCGCCTTCCCGCCCTGGCGTCCCCGCCCCCACCCGGCCGAGCACGTGCTGCCCCCAGCCCGAGCGCCCGCCCAGCCCCGCTCCCCACCCCCACCGGAAACATTCCTGAAACATTCCTGAAACTAGGAGGCCCGGCCCCTCTGGTTCCCCACCCCGCCTCCACGCGGGACTCAGGGTTTTCCTGGCGTCCCCCTCCACCGCCGGCTCGCCCCCTGAGGAGGGGGCTGGGCCGGGGCCTCCAACGGCCAGGGAGGAAGAAGGGGAGCAAGGAAAAACATGAGTCACAGCCGTGTGTCACTGGGCCGCATTGCAATTCCCTGCACCACGGGAGGTGTGGAAGGCCGCCTCTGGGACCAGGGGCGGGGAGGTGCAGGCCCGGCCTGCAGGGCGCGCCTGACAGCGCCCTTTCTTCTCCCACCGCCCTCCCCGCCATCTTCCCACTTTGGCTTCCTTCTCGTTTCTACAAGTCTTTGTTGCGCCGGGCGTGGCGGGTACGGCGTGCGTAGATCCAGTTCCTGCCCTCAAAGTGCTTCCAGGCGACCACCGGCTAACGCTTTCTTATTTTTAAAAAAAGGCACAGCGGAAGGGGCCAGGGTACCACGAGGGATCGCTGGTCTCCAAAACACCATCCGGGTCACCTAAAGGAATGAACCCTCCCTCAGGTTTACCTGCAAAGGAGCCAATCGTTTGCCTCGCTTGAAGGCTGCACCTTGATTATGGTTCACTCGGGCCCATTAATAAATTTAAACCCTGGATTTCACAAGTTTCACGTTTGAATTTCACAAGACCTGCATTTCACCAGTCAGCCACACGCGGGTTGGGACCGAAATGCACATGCTGACACCTGTCCGCCCAGGGAAAATCTAGGAGCCGCGTACCTAGGTGAAGGGAGCGGCGGGTAGGCCGCGAAATTCTCCAACCGGCGCGTTTCTCTCCACCCCTGCCGCCCGCACGGACCCCCGCAAGCACCAACACCCGCCCACATCCACGCGCCCCGCCGGCGCCAAGCCCACACACCCGGAAGGCCCCAAGAGGTGACTCTCCCGGGGACCCCCATTCCATGCAGTAAGGACGCCCTCTCCCCGCCCGAAGAACTCCTTGGTGACCCCTCTAAACACCTCCCCACGTCTCCCGGCCGGGACTGTGGGAAGTGGGCCGTGGCCTCGGGTTCCCAGCCCAGGCCTCCCGCGCGCGCCCGCCCCCAGAAGCCCGACACCGCTCGCCCCTCCCCACACTCAACACCCACCCGCGCGGCGGCAGCGGCTGGCGGGCGGCCGCCCTTTTAAATCCCCGGGCTCATTTGCATGGCCCCGCCCCCTCAGTGACACGGCTGGCGCGGGCGGGCCCGTCCCCCCTGCCCCTGGGTCGCTCTTTTTAAGCTCCCCTGAGCCGGGGCTGCGCTTCTCTAATTGGGACTCCGAGCCCGGGCTATTTCTGGCCCTGGCGTGGCTCCAAGAAGGCGTGAGTTCGCGGCCCCTCCGGTGGCTCCTTTTTTTTTATATCTATCATTTAATTAAATTATTTATTTATTGAGGCCGCGCACGGGCCGTGCCTAGCTTCCTGCCCCTCGCCATCCTTCGGGGGAGGGGGAATATTTTTGTCCCCCCGCCTGGATGTGACATATAAATACCCCGCGGGGGCCTGGGCGGCGAGCACGCGGCGGCGGCGGTCTCTGAGCGCCTCTGCTCTCTCTCCCGGTTTCAGATCCGCATTTGCTACCAGCGGCGGCGGCGGCGGAGCCAGGCCGGTCCTCAGCGCCCAGCACCGTCGCTCCCGGCAGCCCGGAGCGCGCACCGCAGGCCGGCGGCCGAGCTCGCGGTGAGTCGTCCCCGGGGCCCGCGGCGGCGGCGGCGGAGGGGGGCGCCCGCGCCCCCGCTGCACGCCGCCCCTCCTGCAAGCAGCCCGGGGCTGCAGCGCGCGCCTCCGGCTTTATTCCCAGGCCGGGGCTGCGCGAGCCGCCGGCGGGGGAGGGCCGCGCGGCGCGGGGGCGGGCGGCGGGGCCCGGCGGCGCGGGGAGGGCACCGGCACCCCTTCCCCCGCGCTGCGGGTGCCCTGCGGGGGGCGGAGACCCGGGAAAAGCGCGCGGTGGGGGAGGGGGCGCGCTGCTGCGGCGAGCGCGAGTTGTGCACCCGGCGGAGCCCGGTGCACCTCGCGCGGCCGCCGCTCCCGCCCGAGCCCGAGCCCAGGCCTGGGTTGTGGGGGGCGGGGAGAGGAACGGGCTGCGGCGACAGGGGAGAGTGGGGGGCCGGGTGGCCCCTGCAGCCTGGGGAAGTTCTAGAAGTGAGGGGGATGGGCAGGAACCCCGCAATTCGGCCTTACTCCAGCTCGGCCTTTCTCCTGGCGCCCCTCCGCAGATGAGGCCGAATCGCCGGCCTGGGTTTGGGGCTTCACCCCGACCCCACCTCTGGCCCGGCCCGCGCCTCTTCAGCCCCCAGGGCCCGGCTTGCCTTCCGCCCCCACAAACTGGTTTCTCTGCTTTGCTGGGCTCTGTTGGAACTAGTTCCTTTGACTCCCCGTTTCAATTTTTTTTTCTGGGGCTTTATTTTGCGGGGAGGGCGCGGAGGGAGGTGGCCTTTCTTCCTCTCCCCCGCGCGCGCCAGGTTTCCTGCCCCAAGGCGGGCTTGGGTGCCCCCTCTGGCAGGAAGTGGGGCCGGGTGCACCCTCGTGGCGGTGCATGCGGTCGGGGTGCACCGGTTTCCCGCGCCTGCGAAAGCGGCCTGCGCCCCTCCCCCCGCGCTCTAGCCCCCAGTCCCGCCGGCCGACCTGCAACCGCCGGGCGCAGACACTTGCAGAGTCACCCTGGGCCCCGGGTCTGCAGCAGGGACGACAGGGACTTTACCAGCCCCCAGACGGGTAAGGAAAGTGGCGGGCTAGAAGGGTCGCCAGCAACCCACTCCATCCTGCTCGCCAACTTGCTCTGTGACCTTGGGCAACTCATCAGCCCTCTCTGGGCTACTATTTTGGGGAAAACAAGGTGGTTCCGGGATGATTTCCTCGAGTCATTCCTGCAGATTGCCTCAGCATTTGTGGAGCTCACACTGCGTGCACAGTGTGTGGAGGAGACAGGCTTGAGGCCTGAAAGGGCTTATTACCAACTGAAGGGTCGAAGCTGGACCCTAAACGTGGCTTCGCCAAGCCAGGCCTCTCTGATGTTCAGAAACAGGTGGAAGAGACAAGCATCTGTTAGTCTCACCAGAGAGGGCCTCAGGCCTTGCCTTCTCTGGAGTCCTGGATCTGGGGTTGGGGTGAGCGGATTAAAGGGTCCCCAGCAGCAAGAGGTGGGGGGAAACACCAGCGACACCCACCAGGATCCCCAGGCAGGCTGGCCCAGGCTTTATGGGATTAGGGGCTGGCTTTGCCCAACTGGAACCACCTCTCCGAGGGGGCCTCCAGCAAACCTCATGTGAGGTCAGCACTCATTTAGCTGATTAATTGTGATGTTTAGTTTTGAAAGGCGACCTGCGGTGTAATATAAGGTTCTAATCACTGTCTGCAATTACAGAGCAGGCCGAGCCACTAATGATGGAGCAGGATAAATCACCAACCACCTTGTTTAAAAGGGTCTTCAAGTCTGAAATATCGTAAAATGGAATAATTACCAAAGTCTCGCCGTCTGGGGCATTTCAGTACTTGAGGATCGGGGGCCTCAGGCCCTCTAATAATCACAAGTTTGCAAGAACAGTCTTTCCTCTCATTGGGTTAAAATTGGAAATTGTCTGAATCTGAAAAGGGGAAAGAAAGTCATTTTCAAACGTTCTAGTTCTCATTTTGATCTGGAATGAAGCTTTCTGTTGTTTAAGCGTTTTTAACTTTTACCTGGTTTCATCCTTGCCGCAGTCTGGAGAGGTAGGTGAGGCAGGTGCTTTATCATTATCCACATTTTATAAATTGAGGGGCTTTCAGAAGTGGAGCCACTTGGGCCCACCCTTTGCCGAGGGCAGCCAGGGATTGGTTATCAGGGAGGTGTGGAACCATAGGCCTCCCAGGACACGTCTCTATCTGTAACTTGGGGATAATAACGGGGAGGACAGGGATGGGGGTGCGAGGGCCCTCACTGTCCTTTCTCAGCCTCTGGAACAGACTCCCAAATACTCCTTGTAGAGGGGGGTTTCAGGTAAATTCTATATTAGTAGGGCTGATGAAGCCCAAACAGGCCTCTAAGGAGAGGGGAGATGCTAGAAAAGGACCAAGGAGCTTTTAGGATCAGCCCTGTTAGGGCTTCAGGGAGTCAGCTAGCATCTGTTACGTGGGGCCCTCTCAGTTGGACAAGTCCCTGCCCCTCACGTAAGGAGGCATCAAAGAGAAAGATCTCATCTGACTCCAGGTGGGTGGGGGCAGGCAAGGGGGAAGAGGAGACTCACCTTTCAGCTTTGGGTTTCTTTTCCTCCTCCCACCTCACCCACTGCGGTTTTAACCCCCTTCACCCTTCTTCCCAAATCGTCCCCATCTTTGAACCCCCAAGGCTTTTACCCAGGGAGACAGCAGCGGAAAGAACTGGTGGGGCTCTGGCAGGTGGGCCAGGGATTGATGTCTATGGCTGCCAGATGCCCAGGGCTCATTCTCTGCTTACCTTTCCTCCCTTGTTCCCTGCGAGCTACCCAGGCTTGGTTTTCTCTTGAAGGGAAGGGGCAGTTTGGTGGAGGGAGGGGGCCTTGGCAGTGTGAGGACCCCCATCTCACCCACACCGTTGCCAGGGCGGCCTTACCCACAGGCAGGACTGGGCTGGCTGGGCTCTTGGGCCCCGGGCCCTGTGGGGCTGGCAGGACGACAAAGAGCCGTTCTGAAGAGGAGATAAGGAGTTGATTAGGCCCAACGGCCCAGCCCCGCCCTGTGGCTGCAAGCCGGGCTGAGCAGATGCCCCCATCGGCCCAGGTGGGAATCGCGGGGACCCCTGGGAGCAGGCAGTTACCTGCCGGGCATTTGGAGGGTGGGAGTGGTGAGGGGGTAGGAGGCGGCTAAAGCAAGAGGTTTTGTTTAAAACAACTTTTCCCGCCTCCCAGCATCCCAGCCGTCGCTCCTCCGCCTGCTCTGCCGACAAGGGAAGATGAGCGAGTCGAGCTCGAAGTCCAGCCAGCCCTTGGCCTCCAAGCAGGAAAAGGACGGCACTGAGAAGCGAGGGCGGGGCAGGCCGCGCAAGCAGCCTCCGGTGAGTCCCGGGACGGCGCTGGTAGGGAGTCAGGTGGGTGTCCAAACCTTTGCCTCGGTTTACCTCTTTGGGCTAGGGAGGTGCCAGGCGTCTTGGCAGGTGAAAGCAGGACTGGCAGGGCGCAGCGTCATTCCTGTACATGTGTGTTCTCCCCACACACCCGTGCACCCCACACATGCATCCCTGGTGCCTGAGAGTCTGGGAGAGAAGTGCAGCCCAAGGGAGCCCTGAGCCCGAGCCCGAAAGTCCAAGCCAGAAGTGACCCTGTAGTCACGCAGGCCAGTCAGTGCTTATACACTGTGGTAAACCACCCACCCTTTATTTCCAGTTCGTCGTGGACCAGTGCATTATGAAACAGTAAAGATGAATTGTAGAAACGTGAACATTTACATACGGAAGCCCAGCGTTTTTTGTTATTATATTCACTGCACGTGATAGTCTTCTGTTAATTTACTGTGAAATTTACTATGAAGGTTTCTAAATACTTACTGTACATTTCTGTAGTTCCTCATCCCAGGCCAGTAACAGTTTCTGGGCCAGCAACTGTTCACGGGCCTCCTTGAGTGGCCCTGGATTGGGCTTTGCCCCAGCTCTGTAAAAGGAAGTGGAAGCCCAAGAAACTTAAAATGTTGGGGAGTTGGTGGCAGAGTGACTGAGAGCCTTGGTTCTGCCCCCTCACAAAGGTCCCGTGGGATTAAAAGGCCAGCCTGGCACTGTGGGCACCCCGGGGAGCTTGGCCAGTCAGGCTGTGGGGACCACCTGTTACATGGCGGAGATCTTGGGTTTCTCTCACAGAGGGGCATCTCTCCCCATGTAAGGGGCAGCTGTTGGTGAAGCCCCATTACTTCCCTTTCGTGGGGCAGAGGAGAGGAAAGCAGTTGAGGTCGATCCTTGCTCTTTACACATCAGGCAGCTTGTGTCCACCGGGCCCCGGGTGCCGCCCCCCATCTGTAGGTGGAGAGGCCTATACTGACCCTCAGGACCCGTGAGGAGTCTGACGGGTGGTGGAATTCAGCTGCCTCTTTCAGAGCCCACAGTTTGTGTGTGGGGAGCTCATCCTCTTAGTCTCGTTCCCTAGGCCCACCCCTGCCGCCTGTTAGCTTGTGGTCAGTGGGGGGGTCAGAGAAGGGGTGTTGGGTTACTGGACCACGAAGAGCCCCTAGGCAGCCGCCTTGGGAAACCATAGCTGACGTACCTTTGCTGCCCAGCTTCTATGCATTATGTAGCAGTTTTTTATTCTGTCTCGGGCTTATTAAAATTTCAGCGGCACCAGTGGGCAGGGATCTCTGGGGTTCCGAGATCTGGACATAACTCCTTCTCCCTAGGAGGCAGCCTGAAGGGAGTCTGGTTTGCAGGTAGAGGCTGTAGGTTCCCTCTAGGGGGAAGGGGGATCCTTTCCCCTCTTCTGCATCATCTGAGGGGGTGGGCAATGATCACAGCCCAGTGCTAGACACTTGTACATTTTTCATTTAGTTTTCGTGACACTCTACAAGGTAAGTCTTGTCACCATTTACAGATGAGGGAGACTGAGGCTCAAGCATTAAGTGTCTTGCCCGAGACCTTAGAGCTAGTCAGTGGCCGAGCTGGCATGAGGACAGAGCTGCCTAAGAGTGTCTTTCTGCCCCCGTGACACCCTTCCCAGAGGCCTTCTGGCCTCTTGTCATTTAGCTGTCATAGGGAAGCAAGGGGAGAGACTTTGCAAAAGATATTCAGACGGAGAACCTGAATCCCAAGGGCTGCCTGCCATGATTCCATGATTCCTGTGGATTCCAGAGTTGGAGGATGGCTTGCAGACTTAATTCTGCTGGGCTGGGGCAGAGGGCTCTGTCCTGAAAAGGGTGGGACAGGTGGCTTCTGTGTCCCTGACTGCCCTATCTGTCTTTGCAGAAGGAGCCCAGCGAAGTGCCAACGCCTAAGAGACCTCGGGGCCGACCGAAGGGGAGCAAAAACAAGGGTGCTGCCAAGACCCGGGTGAGGCTTGAGGAGGGCCCTCTCCCCACGACAGCAGCTATAGGAGGTCTGGGAAAGGGCTGGCTTGTCCTTATTCTTGGCACCCTCTTTTTCTCTGGCATATGGGGGATGATGTGTCTTTGCTAATTGAAGAGAGTGGGGCAATGACTGAGGTCTCACTTCTGGGGCCTTGGTCCTGCCCAGGACACTGGGGAAATCGAGTCAGATGTCCCGCAGCTTTCCTGGTCTGGAGAGAGGCGAGTTAGGAGGAGCAAAGGGGCAGCTCCTGGGCTGAGAATGTCACCTTTTCTCCCGGAGGCCCCCCGGGCTCCTGAGGGAGTGGGGAGAAGCAGGGAAGGCCAGATCTACAGTGGCATCAGCCTTTCAGAGAAGTTGTTTTGTTTTTTATTTTATTTTTTCTAAGACACGACTCATATCCTCTGAGTCATGGGTGGAGGAGGGAGTTGGGGGCGTGTGTGTATGTTGGGGTGGGGGGGGCAGTGTGGCTGGCCAGTCATCACCAGCTGGACTCGGGTGGGCCTGCTGGGCTGAGAGTCCTGGGCTGCCCCAAGCAGAGGAAGGTAGTTCTGCCCCTCCCTGCTCTCCCTCACCATCCAGGGCACTGTCAGGAACATCTTTGACTTAGTGGATCTTTTCTCTGACCATCTAGAAAACCACCACAACTCCAGGGAGGAAACCAAGGGGCAGACCCAAAAAACTGGTAGGTGAACAGGTGGCGGCAGCTTGGCTCTTCTGGGGAGGCTGTTAAGAGTGGGAGATGCCCCCACCCTATGCCCGCATAGGAACATGGCTCTCCCTGACCTGCAGGGCCAGGAATGGTGAGACTTCATGTTTTACCCAGGCCCGGAGAGGGGAAGGGATTTGTCCAGGGCTTAGGGTTCCTGGCACCCAGCCCAGGGCTTTTAAAGGGCTGTGTCCATGAGACGTGAGGGGTCCCAGGTACAAACCAGACCAGACTCCCTGCGCTGCCCTACTGGGGGTGGTCCCTGTCTCTCCTTCCTCTGCTTTTAGAACAGACTCAGAACTTCTCGGGTGAACTTGGAGGTCAACTACTAGTGTTTCTCCTCCGCCGCCATTATAGAAACGAGAATGAAGAGGTTTAAGGAGCAGCAAAGGAGCTCAGGCCTTGGCAGGCGGGCGGGCGAGGGGGTCACGTTGGGTGGGGGTTGAGGTGCGATGCCGCAGGGAGCTACCTCCTCAGGGAGGCGCCGTCCATCTCTAGGCCCCAATAGCTGGTAATGGAAGTAGGCGGGTTGAGCCGGGAGATGCTTCCAGGGGGTCCACTGCAGCGAGGGCCCTTTACTGTCCCCAACCTGTCTTCCCTGAGGCGTTCATTCCTCGAGCCACCACCGGGTGAGGGGAGATCAGGGTGCTGGCTGGGCCCCAGGAGTGAGTAACAGGAAACAAGTTGTTTTGGAGTTTGTGCCTGGCACGGGGGCCCCGTGTGGTGTCCCGACATTCCCGCCCAGTGAGTGAGCCCCGGCCGCACACACTTCCCCTTCCTCCCCACCCTGGCCTGGGGTCAGCCCTTGGCCACTGCTCCGCAGCCCAGCAGCTGCCCCTGCAGGCCAAGGCCACTCGGTTCCCCTGCACCCACCAGGGGGGCTCATGCAGCCTCCAGCCACCCCTTCCCTTCTCATTTCCTCTCCCTGGCTGCCTCCTCTCCTCCCCTGCCCGAGAACCAATCACTTCCTCGCTTCCTCGAGCCCAGTGGTGCCCCGAGCTCTGCCAGGTACCCCTGCCATGGGCCTGGGGGCCAGGGGGCCAGGGGGCCTGGCTCTGTGTGAGAGCAGCATGTGTGTGTTTTTTTTTCCCTCCCTTTAAATTCTTCCTTTTTTATGAATGAAACTGGGCCGTGGAGGTTGCTGAGTCACCCACACACTCAGCCCTGACTCATCCCCCTTCTGGAGAGCCAGGGAGTGCGGGGAGGGGTTGGGGGCGAGCTTGGCCCCTGGGCGGTGGAGGAGGGAGGGGGACAGGCCTGGCATTCCTGCTGATGGCCCTGCCCACCCTGCAGGAGAAGGAGGAAGAGGAGGGCATCTCGCAGGAGTCCTCAGAGGAGGAGCAGTGACTGTGCCGCGCCGCCAGCTCCCTCACCGAGGAGCAGTTTCCTTCTGGGACTGGACAGCTCCGCTCCGCTCCCACTGCCCCCACCCCTTCCCCCAGGCTCTCGTGTCACCGCCACCCACCCGCGCCCTCACCACCACACTACACAGCACACCAGCCGCCGCCGCAGGGCCCCCGGGGGCCCGAGTCGGGAGCAGTTTCCTTTGATTTCAGGTCCCAGCGACCCCTGACCCACGCACCTGACTTCCCACTAAGCTGCTCCCGTGCTGCTGTATCCCCACTCCCTCAGCGTGGGGACCTTGCTGGCTGGGCTCTTGGTTTCGGGGTCCCTTCTAATCCCCGACTCTTCCCTCTGGCTTCCCATTAAGGGGCCTGGGAGGGCTCCCCTGGCCTTAAAAAGGGGCCCAAGCCCCATCTCATTCTGACATGCCCCACGCCCACTGTACTAGCGGCAGCAGGTGTGGCCACTGGAGAGGGGTGATTGGCCCCAGATGCCCCCAACCAAGCTGTGTCTCACCAGGGGTGGCTCACACGCCCTTTGCTTCCTTCCCACCTTGCCTAGTCCCTGCAGTAGGTTGGGCCGCCCCCTTGGGGGCACAGGAAGGCAGGCAGGAGGGGTTTAAGCCCCCTCCCCCCTCTAAGCAGGCTCCAATCTACCTTGCCCTCACCCTGGAATCCAGTGCAGTGATGAAAATGCAAAGTCACCTTTATCCAGGTGAGGCCCAGGAGGCCTGGGCTCCCGGTGGCAGCCACTTAAGGCGGGCTAGAGCCACTCCCTGTCCCTGTCTGCTTCCACTCTAGACCTCGGTTTCCCCTTCCTTCCCTCACTCGGGGCACTAATAACAAGGAGCTAGCCTTGCCCACTCCCATCCTTCTGCTCCTCCCCAACCCCCAAGGTTCTGGTTCCATCTTTCCTCTGTTCACAAACTACCTCTGGACAGTTGTGTTGTTTTTTGTTCAATGTTTCATTCTTAGACATCCGTCATTGCTGCTGCTACCAGCGCCAAATGTTCATCCTCATTGCCTCCTGTTCTGCCCACAGTCCCCTCCTCCAAGATGCTCTTAGGGGAAGGGGCCTGGGGCAAAGCAGGCTGGGTTACCGACTACCCCAGTCCCAGGGAAGGTGGGGCCCTGCCCCTAGGATGCTGCAGCAGAGTAAGGAGGGGGGCCTGTGTTGACCGTCGGGTGTAGGGGCCACCTTCTCCCCCTGTTCTGTCAGGGAGGAGGTAGCCATTATTTGTCCCAGCCTGGGGCCCCCACTCTGGTTTCCTATTTGCAGTTACTTGAATAAAAAAATATCCTTTTCTGGACTGAGTCTTTCTGTGATGGGTGCCTGGAATAGGGAAGGGTGGAAACCAAGGCTCTAGTGGGTGGGGGAGGAAGAAGAAAAAGCATTGGCGTCAGCTCCAGGGAAGGTAACTTAAGCCCCTCTTGAAGAAGTCAACTACACCCCTAGCCACAAAACGTTTTATTTACAAAATATATATACCGAATATTATACATTAGGCCCTGTCACCATGGGAACAGCTCCAAAGCCAAGTCAGGGAGGGCTAGAGAAAGGTGGTGCCTGTGGAAGGGCAAAGCTCCACCCTGTCTCCCAGCCACCCTTCCACCCCAGAAAGAAAAATTCCCATTAGCTCCTGGGAGTGGCTGGTAGGCTCAGCCCACAGAGGACTGAAGGCCTAGCAGGGAGTGAGGTGACAGTGGGGGCTGACTGCTATGCAGGGCTTAGGACTGGAGACAGATGGGAGGAGGAATGGAGACCCAGTACCCGGGAGGGGGAGCTGGGGGAAGCAGCAGGCTGCAGGGCCCTGGACATTCCAGGACCCCATGGTTCTGAAGAGCAGGGCAGGGGGCTCAAGTCATGTCTTGACATCCAGCAAGGGCATCCGCTTGTGCTGGTAGCCACTCTGCCAGCCATGGACCACCTGTAGGGGAGGAGACCCGCACCACAGGGCACAGTCCACAGCACAACTTGGGAGGAGGCACCCCACTAGCCACGGCCCACATGGGGAAGGCTGAGAGCAGAACCAGGCTCTGTCTTCAGGGGTATCAATAGAGCAGACCCACCTCTGCCGATTCTCGCTGTCCCCAGAGTGCTCACCTTGGGGTCTCCCACGTCAGAGAGTAGCTCCTGCTCAGCCTCGTGCAGCTCCTCAGCAGGGTCGTAGCTGTATACAGGGAGCAGGTGATGGCGAAGCCGGTCCACCCTGGGGAGCATGGGAGGGGGCTCAGCCCAGGGGACCCACTCCCCTTCTTCAGACACCTGACTGCCCTGTCTCTACTCCCCCTGGCAGGGGCACACTAGAGCTCTAACAAGACATGTCTGGGCAGGAAAACCTAACGGGAGTGTAGGGAATTTCAGGTTTGTGTCTGAATGGCTGAGGAGCATCTTACATGTATGCAGGGATCTCAGATCCTATGGGAAGAACTTTAAGCACAATTCGGGGGAGGTGGTGCGGGGGGCAGGGACACTCACCGCTTTTTCTTCTGGACATACATTACCTGTAACAGAGACACAGCACTGTGGAGGCCGCTGAGCCCAGGATGGCCCACAAGTGACAGGGGTTTACCTCCACACCCTCCTCTCCCGTAACAGCAGGACAGCTGAGATGCTGTGTGCAGGCTGGACCAGGCCCACCCAGCCCTGCCTTCGCAAAGGTGTGGGTATGTATGTATGTATGTGGGGGGTTCCTTACCACGGCCACCACCACCCCGACCAGGGTGATGAGGAAGAAGGGCCCCAACACATAGCCCACCATGGAGTCGCTGCTGGCCTGTGGGGCATTGGGCACTGTGGTGTTACTCATGACATCGGCAGCCAGAGGGCTGGGTAGTCAGCATGGGCAGTAGTACTGCCTCGGGAGGGCGCCTCCACTGGGCTCCCTGGGGAGGAGGAAGGAGGTTGTCAATTCCACCCAGGCTCCAGATTCCTCCCCAAGAGCTAGTAATATATGAAAACTTAGGTCAGGCACTGGGAAGAGGGATCTTCCAGGTCAATGTGCTGGGTTTAACCCTCCAGGGACTCTCAGCAAGTCCTGGGTGTAAACGGCACCAAAGGGAGGCCCAGACTCAGGGCCTGAGTCCTGCCCAGCTCCTATCCCCAAATCGGGGGGTGGGGGGTGGGTGGGGCTCAGCTCAGGTGCTGGCCAAACATTTGCAGATATCAATTCCTGAGGAGAGGTTAGATGTAGGTTCCCAGCTCCTGCCCCAACCTCCTGGGGTACTGGACTGCCAGCAGCTATCCAGTGGAGCAAAATGGGGATATTAGGTTAAAACATGAGGGTCCTGCATTGCAGCCTAGGGGTGAGGTGGGAGCATCTGAAGGAGACCATCTCGGCCCGGGTCCAGTGCCCACACTTCGGTCTATATAGGTCCTACGCCCTCTTTGTCCCTGGAGTCACGCCAGGCATAGCCTGGGCACCGTCTCCCCCATCGGTCTCATGTGCCAGGGTGGACACAAGTGGGCAGGGCTGGACTGCATCTGCGAGGTGATGTCACCGCCCCCTGGTCCCCACTCGGGGCTCCGCCCGGGTCCCTCCCCTCCTGGCCTGGAATGACAGAAGGAAGTGGAGAGGGTCAGCTCCCATGACAGATGCAAGGAGGCTGTCCACGGGTGGCTGCACGCAGATACACCCAGGTCCTTGACCCCGGTTCTCCTGGGCTTCTATCGGAGGGCAAGGTATGAACTACCCGTCCCGCTACCCGTGGGGGCTCCGGGCTTACCCAGTCGCATGCCCGTCCCATAGTAGAGGGGACATGCCGAGGTAGGGAGGGTGACAGGCCGTTCCTAGGATGCGGACCAGCAACGGAGAGCGGGAGGTAGTTCCCACGGCGCTGGGAGGCTCAGGCCAGGGGAAGGGAACTTAGGGGGAGCACAGAGGGGCCCGGGCATCCTGGCATCCCGACACCCCAAAGCGTGGACCTGTACCGGCGCTTTGCAGCCCATCCAACCCGGCCAAGCCTTACCTCCCGCCGATGCAGCCCGGAAAGGAACGCCCTCGGTTGGCTCCGGGGCCCCGGAAGAGCCGGCAGGCGCGTGATCAAAGGACCCGGGGAAATGGGCGGGGCCACAGTATCAGGGTGCAGCCAATCCGATGGCGGCAGGCAGAAGGCCCGGAGGCTTCGGGAGGGGCCAATCCGGAGGCCGGGGGTGCTGGCGGCGCCGAGCCGAGACGGCCTGGGCTGCAGGGTCCACCCTGTGACGGCAGGGGGCAGCCGAGGGCTGCGCAGCGGGGAGGGGCGGAGAGGGGAGGGGCGCGCGCGGCTTCCCGGCGTACCCCGGGGCGGACCCCTGCTACGCGGCCGCGCTTGGGAGCTCACATTCCAGGGAGAGGCCTGGCGTCCGCTTTACTCGCACTTCTGGTTGGAGCCCAGTCACGCTCTAACGTTTAGCCCAGGCCCCACAAGGCCTCCAAAGCCCCGCAAGGGCTTTGTTGAGCCCTCTAGACCTCCTAGCGGCGCAGACTGGCCCTCTGTGCAGTGGTCAGAGTGTGTAGGCAGGCCTAGGGTAGCCCCTGCCCAGCCTTGGACCTCAGGTCCACCCACCTAGCCACCCTCTCTGCGCCTCACTCTTAATATTGGTAAAACAGGCTGCTCTAAGGATTAAACCATGACATGGGTAGAGCCTAGTACATAGCATGCCCAGAATTTTAAATTCCCTGTTAGCCTCTTTCCGGTTTTCCAGGGCACAGACGGAGCAGCGAGGTGAAGTTCCTCTGGGTCATAGGTAACTTGCCAAGTAGGTAAGCTTGAGTTGAAGCTTCGGTCGTCTGATAATTAAAAATGTCACACACTTATTGGGGAAATTTGAATAAGATTAGTGGGTTTTACCAATGTCAGTATCCTGGTTGTGATGTTATACTATAGTTTTGCAAAAGTTAGCATTGGGGGAAGCTAAGCAAAGTGTACAAGGGATCTCTGTTATTTCTTACAACTGCATGTGAATCTAGTTACCTCGAATTGTGTGTGTATAGTTTTGTACCACACCTACCTTTCCGTCACCAGAATCACACACAATTGGGAAAACTCCAGATTGGCAGGCGATAGAAAACACCCAAGAACATAAAGGTTGTGGCAGCCGAACTAGGTTGAGGCCCTCCTGGGTCCTCAAGTGCTACTGGAGATAAGGGGTGCTGTGAGTCACCCTATTCTTTTTTTTTTTTTGGCTGTGCCGCCCAGCATGCAGGATCTTAGTTCCCCCACCAGGGATCGAACCCGTGCCCCCTGCCACTGGACCTGGAGTCCTAACCACTGGACCGCCAGGGAATTTCCTGGGTCACCCTATTCTTGCCAGAGACAGCCAATGGCATGGATGTGGTTGAGCTACTTTGTCTGGTCAGGCCTCAGTTTCCTCAAGTCCTTCCAGAGGTGGTTAGATGAGGGCAGGTCTGGTGCAGAGATGACCCAATTAGGAACCAGAGGGCAGGTGGGAACTTGCCTCTTGCCTCCAGACACCACCATCTGACTGGGGAATCAGATAAAGGGAAAGGAATGAGAGAAAAGCTTGGGTCTGAAGGCTCCAGGTAGATTTCCTGGTATTCTCTGCCTTTGAGTCTGGAGAGTAGGGAGACCACCCATAAGAGTCTTCTATTAGACCTGAGGGCAGAGGAAGGAGGCACCTCCCCAGGCAGGGCCTCCCTCACCTTACAAGGAAGTAGGGATCAAGTAGTATGTTTTAGATCCAGGCCCCCTTGGCTGACCACACACCCAACTGTTGTTCCCATCCTCAGGACTTCCAACCACATATCTATAGAGGGTCTAGTGGTCCTTGGAGCAGGCCTAGTGATTGCATTAGCTAGGCCAGTGTGTGGAAAGGCACAGGGGTCTTTACTCCTAGGACAGAACACCATTCCAAGGTAGGCAGGGCAGCTGGGACAACCTCAGTTTACAGTGAGTAAGCTGAGGCCCTGAGTGGCGTAATGACTTCCCAAGGCCCGTGGTGTGATCACCAAGGGTAAGGCAGAATGGGATGATGGGCGGGCCCCTCCCTCTTCCTTGGACAGCTCTGTTCTGGCAGCTACTCTGGGACTGCATTTGAGGCCTGGTTTGTTCCTGTGATGAGATGAACTGTTATAAGTTAAATCTACATAATGTAAACCTTAAAATAACAGAGTTATTTTATGTAAGTCAACAAAAGAGATAAAATAGAATTAAAAACTCTCAAGTAATCCAAAATAAGGGAGAAAAAGAGGAAAAGGGTAACAAAGAAGAGATGAGACAACCAGAAAACAAATAAGATGATAAACTGAAACCTAAATATATCAATAATCACATTAAAAGTAAATGGTCTAAACAACCCAATTAAGGGACTTCCCTGGCAGTCCGGTGATTAAGACTCCATCCTTTCATTGCAGGGGACACGGGTTTGATCCCTGGTCGGGGAACTAAGATCCCGCATGCTGCACAGCATGGCCAAAATAATAATAATAATAATAAAATAATCAACCCAATTAAAAGGCAGAGATTATCAGAATGGATAAAAAAGTAAGACACAATTACATGTTGCCCACAAGAAATGTACTCTGAATATAAAGACTCCAATAGGGTAAAAGCAAAAAGATGGGAAAAGATACACCATGTTTATGCTTGTCAAAAGAAAGCTGGGAAGGCTATAATAAAATCAGGCAAAGTTGGTTTCAGAGCAGAGAATATTACCAGAGATGAAAAAAAGTTCAGTTCATAATGACAAAGGGGTTGATTAATTGAGGACATAACAATTCTAAATGTTCATGTGCCCAAAAAGAGAGCTTCAAAATATATGACACAAAAATGGATAGAACTCCAAGAAAAAAGAATCACAGTTTTAGTCAGAGATTTCAGTACTACCCTCTGAATAGTAGATAAAACAAGCAAATAATCAGCCAGGATATAATAAACTAGAACAACACTATCAACCAACTTGACCTTTATAGAATCCTCCACCTAACACTAGCAGAATACATATTCTTAAGTGTACACAGAAGATTTATCAAGACAGATCATATTATGGGCCATAAAACAAGTCTCAATAAATTAAAAAGGATTCAAGTCATAACGAAGTATGTGTTCTGATCACAGTGGAATTATATTAGAAATCAATAACAAAAAGATCCTTGGAAAATTCCCAGCTATTTGGAAAATGAAGAACACACCTCTGGATCAATTAGGAATTATTTTGAACTGAATGAAAATGCAAATGCAGTGTATCAGAATTTGTGGGACATCTCTGTTAGAGAAATTTATAGCACTAAGTATCTATTTAAAAAAAGAAAGATATGTCAACGACCTCAGCTTCCACCTGAAACCAAAGTATACAGAAGAAAATAACAAAGATCAATGCAGAAATCCATGTAATAGAAAATCAATGAAACCATAAGCTGCTTCTTGAGAAGATCAACAAAATTGATAAACCTCTAGCCAGATTGATCAGGAAAAAAGAGAGAAAATACAAATCACCAATATTAGGAATAAAAGAGGTAAGATCACAACAGTTTCTACAGATAATAAAAGAATAATAAGGGAATATTAGGAACAACTTTTTGCCAATAAATTCAATAACTTAGTTGAAATGAAGAATAGATGGAAAGACACGAATTACCAAGGCTCACCTAAGAAATAGATAAATGTATAGGAATCTAGGTTAAATTTATACCATCTTAGCTTCAATAGCATACATTAATTCCTCCTATTCAATTCTATGTCCCCCTTGAAGTTGGTATTGTTACAAATACATCTTTATACATTGCATGCGTATTAACATAGATTTATAATTATTGTTTTATGCATCTGTCTTTTAAACCATGTAAGAATCAGAAAAGAGTTACATACCCAGAATACAATAATACTGGCTTTTATATTTACCTTGTACTTACCTTTATCAGTGAACTTTTATCTAGTGCCTTTTTGTTTCAGTCTGAATGACTCCCTGTAGCATTTCTCGTAGGGCAGGTCTACTAAACAAATGCTGTTAGTTTTTATTAATCTGGGAATGTCTGAACTTCTCCTTAATTGTGAAGGACAGTTTTTCTGGATATAGAATTACTGGTTGACAGGTTTTTGTTTGTGTTTTCCTGTCAGTTCTTTAAATATATCATTCTACCGGTTTCTAGCCTTCGTGGTTTCTGATGATAAATCAACTGTTAATCTTAGGATGTTAATTGTAACCTCCATGGTAACCACTACAAAAGCAAGTAGGAAATACATAGAAAAGGAAATGAAGAGGAAATCAAAATGGTACATACTAGGAGAAAAATCAAACACAAAAGAAGTCAGTACTGGAAGGATTAAGGAACGAAAAAGATATCACACACAGAAAACAGTGCTATAGCAGAAGTAAGTCCTTCAATATCAGTAATCACTTTAAATGTAAATGGATTAAACTCACCAATTAAAAGACAGATTGGTGATAGGTGCACAATATTATGAATGTATTTAATGCCACTGATTTGTATATTTCAAAATGATTAAAATGGTAAATTTTATGTATATTCTATCACTCACAAAAAAAGGCAGAATGGATTTTAAAATGATCTAACAGGATTTGAAAAAAAATTTCTCCAGAGAAGACATGCAAATGGCCAAATAAGTACATGAAAAGATGCTCAACATCACTAATCATTAGGGAAATGCAAATCAAACTACAGTGAGATACCACTTCATATCCATTAGGATGGCTATTATTTAAAATAAAACAAAACAGAAAATAACAAATGTTGGTGAGGATGTACAGAAAAAGGAACTCTTGTGTACTGCTGGTGGGAATAAAATGGTGCAGACACTACAGAAAACAGTATGGTGGTTCCTAAAAAAATTGAAAATAGAATTACCGTATGATCCAGCAATTACACGTTTGGGTATATACCACAAAGAATGGAAAGAAGGGATTCAGAGAGATATCTGTATACTCAAGTACATAGCATCATTCTCCACAATAGTCAAAATGTGGAAGCAACCCAAGTGCCCATCGACAGGTAAGTGGATAAACAAAATATGGTACATATATACAATGGGATATTGACACACCTACAACATGGATGAACCTTGAAGACATTATGCTAAGTGAAAGAAAC